TTGTGAAAGCTTCATTCATATAGAAATAAATGGAAATTTGAGAGAGAATTCTCAGAAGACATTGTTCAAGAACATAATGGTGAACTTTTTTTTTCGAATTCATTTTTTGTACTTATTCAAATCGCTCATCCATACAGTTTATTGAGGTATCCAGAATCGCGATATGAAATGTTACCTGAAATTTCTCTTCAGCATCTTGGATTGGTTCATTTTTTGCTTCGTATATGGAAACTGCCTTGTCTTTTCTTCTCAATCGCTTCGACTGTTTCAATGCGGCTGAAATACTAAGATTATTTACAATTTTATCATCTACCAACATCTTCATTTCGATAATTTTCAAAAAGTTGTCTTGTTTTGCAAATCTATTTAAGAGCAGAGAATAGATCAAATCTCCTTGTCACAAGTTAGGTAAATTTTATACCACATCAAAAGAAATGCAACAAACGAGAAGGTTTCGATTTATTTGGCAAATCCTTAAGCTTCGACTCCTCAATGTGGTATTTTAACAATATCCATGCTGTTGTATCAACACTTGTTTCAACATAGAGATCAATATAGTAATTATTTTGGGAAAGAAAGTTTTTGGCTTTCTACTACTTCATCTGATACAAAAAAAAGGGATGAGAGAATCTTTCAAAGAAAGGAAGGAAGTAATCAATTTGAAACTCTATACATGAATGTGTAGATCATGCAAAGAAGTAACTTCCAGACACAAACTGAAAGAAAGTCCTCCTGAAACAGCTCTTTTCATATAAACATTGAATTACACGAAAGAAAATAATTCTTTCGAAACAAATACTTCTATATGAACACTGAATTATACAGAAGATACTNTACGCTATTGAATCGTATGCGGAGAGATTGGATAAACCCAACCTCACTCACAAGTTAATGAAAATATTCTCGGACAGTCAAGCGACGTCGGAAGCTCTTGTCTCCTCGATAGGAAGACTCAACAGATTGTCTCTGATCTGGATTCCTGGCCATACTGTCCTGGAAGGCAATGAAGCTGCTGACCCTCTTGCAAAGGAGGGTGCTGCAAGCGGCTTCTTTGGACCAGAACCTGTCATTGGCATCGCTTTGGGCTTTGCCAAACAAACACTGAACACCTGGATGGCAAGAAGATTTATGGACTTCTGGCAGAATCTTCCAGGATTGGCTCACTCCAAGGCGTTTATTACCATTCGAACCTTGATTCCAAACAGTTGTTGTACTGCAGTAGGGATGAACTACGATGTCTAACAGGCCTTCTTACAGGTCACTGTCATTTGAATCATCACATGCAGAGATTTGGACTGTCGGAAGGCGGTGTGTGTCGCCTCTGTCTGGAAAATGATGAAACAACAGAACATATACTTTGTGCATGGCCCGCTGGGGACCAAATCAGATTCTTTGAGTTCGGCAGATACGTTCTCTCACCATCTGACCTGAAAGATCACTCACCATACAAACTAATCGGCTTCGTTAAGAAGCTGGGTTTATTTGGCCGAGTGTAAGTAGGTGTGAGCCACAATAAACCCTTATGGGTTGCGGTGGAGGTTCGAATAGACCCACTCACTTCAGACCTATCTACCTACCTACTTTACTACTTATATTATTGGAAACTTTAGGTTAACATTGTCAATTTCAAACATCGATTACATCAGATATTTGAATAAAACACGTGTCTATCCCAAGAACTCAGTCTGTATAACATATTCATCATACAACAGATTTTTGCTGTAACCAAATAAAATATTTTTGCAGGACAAATTTACCCAAAGAACTGATGGAATTCGGAGGTTTCCCATACAAAGAACCTGATCACTCCTTTATATCACACGAAGATGTATTTAAGTATATATCGGACTACGCTGAAGCCTTCAATTTACTGCCATTCATCAAGGTAAGTTGAAAACTAGGTAAATATGAGATGTCGGAGGTACACAAGTACATTTACGTCCCAATCGCTTCGGCTGTTTCAATGAGGCTGAAATACTAAGATTATTTACAATTTTATCATCTACCAACATCTTCATTTCGATAATTTTCAAAAAGTTGTCTTGTTTTGCAAATCTATTTAAGAGCAGAGAATAGATCAAATCTCCTTGTCACAAGTTAGGTAAATTTTATACAAAACGTTATACCACATCAAAAGAAATGCAACAAACGAGAAGGTTTCGATTTATTTGGCAAATCCTTCAGCTTCGACTCCTTAAACATTGCGAACACTTTCTTATAATGTGGTATTTTAACAATATCCATGCTGTTGTATCAAAACTCGTCAGCATCGTTTACTAGTAAATTTAATGAGATAGAGACTAATATAGTAATTATATAAAATGCTTCAGGGTTCATACCTGAGATAAGTCGTTAGAGACCAATGTTTTTTCTTTCATATTACTCCTGTTGTTATAACCTTGTCCACTCAATTTTTTTGTCTACAGTGATAAACCTTATTATCAAGAGTGACTGCAGAAAACCAGCTGCAACGGTTTCCAAAATATGAATTGATCCCAAAAAAATGCTCTTCAATGTTACTGCTTTTGTTTATATTGAAATGACGATTGTGATGAGGCACATATCTGTATCTGTAGAGTAGGGAGGGTGAGTATAGGCCCACAGCACTTAGGCCACATGTGACCCATTGTATATCCTCCCGAAGAGTTGTCCTCCTAGGTCATCGTCCATCCTGTCTTTTCCAGGAAGGTGGACAGGTCACTGGGAGACATCTTTATATCAGCAGATGTAGATCAAGACTCGCCGAACACACTCTCTTATTGACGATAACTCCAGACACTCGCATAGTACATGCCTGACAGTTTCATCTTCATCTTCCACAAGCCCCATTTTATGGAGGTGTTTCCTTAGTTGACAGTGGCCAATCAGAAATCCTACTGTAGAGCGTAGATTTTTTCTGCTTCCCAGGGTCGCCCAGGGTGATCCTGGCAAGATTGCATCCTTTGATTCTATTCCATCTCTTTAGGGATTGAGCATGGATGTGACATTTGGCTAGTTCCGCAATTGTCGAAGTCATCAGGCCGTAGGTACCACTGGGTCCTAAAATTCTTAGTTCAGCCGCTTCCTTGGCTAAAGAGTCGGCAATGCGATTACCTCTAATCCTGTCGTGCCCATCAACCCACACAGGATGATGTTATTATCTACCGAAGTTTTGGCTAAATCTTGGTGGCACTCTAGTACTAGCCCTAAGGTAACACGTTGTCTGTTCAAGGCTTGTCTGCTATCAGCGAAAATTGTTATGTTTATGCCAGAAATTCCTTTCCTGGTTATTCATTTTGTGGCAACTTAGATACCAGCCTGTTCTGTTTGAACCAAGCTGGTATTTTTCCCATTCCACACTCAACCCTCAGGCTCAGTGATCTGGAGTACACTCCACGTTCTGAGTCTTCTTTGGTTTTTGAGCCGTCTGTATATATCTGTATTTATGGAGATTGCATTTGTGTTGTGTTCTGTTCGATTTGTATTTTGTAGGGTTTATCAAACACAAACCTGGGTTCAATTGCATCACTGGTTACCTGGTTGCGCAGTAAGCGCTTCTCGCCATAGGCTCATCCTCAACTGACCCATGCCTACTTCGAAATTTACAACTGCCGTGCGCAATTGTAACATGACCATTAATGCATAGGTCCAGAGGGGTCAGACCAGTAATTAATTCCATTGCCGCGGTTCGTGTTGTTCTCATGGCTCCTGTGATGTTTAAACAAGCCAATAGCTGTATTTTATATAATTTTTGGACGGCCGTTGCTTGTAGAACTTTCGGTATCCATGCAATGGCTCCATGCAATGGCCCCGTATGGTCACCCCGGTGAAAGACCCCATGCGCTTTCCATTATCTTCCGACATTGCTCATAAGCCGCATATGCTCTTTTCACTCTACTCAGTAGGTGAGAATTCCATGTTAGCTTCCTATCGAGGATAGTACCAAAGTATTTCACCTCTTTAGAGAAGTTCAGTTCGCTTTTGAAGATTTCGAGAGGTTTCAAGCCCAATAAACTTCTTTTCCTAGTGAAAAGGAACATCTCAGTCTTCTTGGGATTGATCGACAGTGGGTGTTCTTTACACCATGTTTCTATTAATTTGAGCCCATCCTGCGCTCTATCTCACAGTGTGTTCACAGATTTGCCGGTCTGCAAGATAACCATGTCATCTGCATATGCAATTGTGTAGAATCCATTATTGTTGAGGTGATTAATTAGGGTATCCAGAACTATGTTCCAGAGAAGGGGTGATAAGACCCCTCCCTGTGGACATCCCCTCATGACCAGTCATCTCACTGTGATGTCTTATTGCTATACTAGAGAGCATCTTGAGTATCCATTCTCCTGCTACCAGAGGTACAGTCCTGGGGTGTAGTTGCTGTTCAATTGTTGGAAAGGTTGTTTTATCAAACGCTCCCTCGATATCTATGAATATACCCAGGGTGGATTCTTTGTTGTCCAATGATCTTTCGATTCTGCCAACCACATGGTGAATGGCCGAATCAGTAGACTTTCCCGGCGTATATGCATGCTGATTTGCATGAAGTGGGCTGTGAACTAGTACTTCATCTCTTATGTACCGCTCACATAGCCTCTCCATAGTTTTTAAAAAGAACGATGTGAGACTACCTGGTTTTGGGTATAAATACTACTCGTACTTCTCTTCACTTCTGGGAATATTCCTCAGAGCTAGAGAGGCTCTGAATATTCCAACCAGGTGCGGCATAAGAATATCCAATCCACATTGTGATGAGGCACAAGGCAGAGGTTTAAATCGGGCGAGATAATTCGCTTGATGCAGAAAATGAAAAAAAATGTTGCGCGTACACAGACCTACTAAGTTCAAATTCGCAGAAATCATGATTACATTTCAAAAAATTCACATTTTTCACCAAGTCGCTTCTAATCTTTCACATAACTGTAGTCACTCCTACCTCCAATCTTCTGATACCAATCTTTCATGTTTTTGATTACTTTCAGCTGAAATTGAGTTCCTATTTCCACAACTTCCTGAACGTTTTAAAGGTTTGATATCGATACTTTATGGAAAGAATATTTTCAAAATGCCTGGCAAAAATATGACCAATATGACCATAAAAATCTGAGTCAGAGCTTCACAGCAGTTTATTCATCAAGATTTTCTTTTTTTTTCAGTTTTATCATAACGTAGAAGGAATTGCCCCTCTTCCTTATGAAAAATGGAACATAAAAATAAGAAAACTAAAAAGTCAAGAAGAACTAGATAGAGAATTTGACGCAGTAGTAGTATGTGTAGGAACCTTTTCAGTTCCTTCCATCCCAAAATTGAAAGGTCTCGATACATTCCAGGGCTCAGTAATTCATAGTCACATCTACAGAAATACTGATCCGTTTATGCACAAGAAGGTTTTGATCATTGGTTCCGGACCATCCGGAGTAGATATTGGCAAGCGTATAGCCGCAGTAGCTGATAAAGTAGACTCACCAATTCAATTTTTGACTGAAGTTTGTTGATTTCTGTTTGTTTTCAGGCAATTTTATCTCACAGAAGTAAGCAGGAATCAGTACTGAAAAAGCTTTCTGAGAATTTGAAAATCAAACCGGAAATTGAGGAATTTAGAAATAATAGTGTGATGTTCAAGGACGGTTCAGAAGAAGAATTAGATGCTGTTGTATTATGTACAGGTGAATAAATACTATCAACATTTCATTACTGAAACACTAAAAATTTTGGTAAATATAGTAAGGAAGCATTTACGCATTGAAACGCTTATTGGTTTCATTCAAGAAAACAAAACACTAATAATGTAATAGAATGTGTGCAAAAACAGTCCGATTTACTAGCTCTACGTAATCAAGTGACTGGCTGAGTAATTGATTTCTTTTGTAGAAGTCCGATTTTTGTTACAAAAGGTCAGAGATTCTCCATTATGGTATAGTGGAATGATTAGGAGGACATGATTGATGTACAAGACAGAATTGTACTTGCCAAATTTCAACAATGCCTCTTGATCAAACGTTTCGATTCCAGATAACCCATCCTCAAGCTGTCAATTTTTTACTTTGTATAACCTCACAGGAAGGTCGTTCACAATTCGAACTGACAATTTTTCTTTTCAATTTTCGTAATGTCGAACACTAGATATATTGAATTATTTTTCAATTATCAGTTTTGTGAAATTCAGCTCACAACAACAAAAGCTTACTTATTTGAGTCCAAAAAAAGATGTGTAGATCATGCAAAGAAGTAACTTTCAGGCATAAACTGGAAGAAAAAGCCCTTCCGAAACAGCTATTTTCAAATAAACATTGAATCACATGAAAGAAAAAATATGTTTGGTACAACTACTTTATTATAAAAAAAAGACTTCTCCTATTCAGAACTTCAAATATTCATTATGAAACTGAAACAGATATCATTCACAGGATTGCTACAGAATATAGTAAATAATGAAAGAGGTGAAATTTCACTTACATGGAATGAAAGTGGAATGTAATGCCCTCAATGGAGGGCATTGATGTTCCGGAATGAGACATGTGTCTTATTGCCTCTTCCCCACCAATCTGTTTCTTCATTGGAAAGAACAAAGTAGTCGTTCGATTGATGACCTATTTATTTTGTGGAAATTTATAATGAAATATAGAATAAACAAAATAACTTTCATCTAATTTTTACTAATTTATTATTTGTTACGACCGGTTTCGATTTATTAGACCGATACACCGATTCATATTGAATATACAGGGTGTGACTAAATAAGTGTAAAACATTCAAAGAGGTGATTCGTCATCGAAAGAAAGATAAGATCTTTCATATAAAGAAATTTCATTGGAGCATCCCTTGTTAAGATACAGCCCCTTAAAGGGGGTACATACATAATGTTGATGATTTCAATCTTCTTGACAACCCTTCAAAATAAACTAACAAGGTATTTTCCGAACAAGAATTTACCTTGCTTTCATTTTCCAGTCCATAAAGTTTCTATAAGCGATTTCATGTTTTTCTCTCGATGTGCTTGGTAGCACATCTATTGCTTTCTGAACAATTCCTGGAGGTGTATTTTCCAACTCTAAATCTTCGTATTCCATTATATTCAATATACAATAAATCTGAACTGTTTATACCATAACAATCAACAATAAAACTATTTTCGTTGGGTAAGCTGACTGCAATAATTATGTAGTGCTTCGGTTTTGTTGTTATGGAAACGCCGACAATGGGATACTTGGATATTGCACGCGAATCGTCGGCGTAACGTTGTCAACATGGAGAACGTATCATATCAATCTGCCATGTAACAATTCATGACTTGGGTTATCGTGATAACAGTGAGAAATTATTTCTCACTGTAATGGCGAATACATTTTGAAGAAAAAAAGTGTTTTTGAATAATGTTTTTATAAAGTAGTAGTTTCGAAAGTATTTTATCTTTCGTGTAGTTCAATAAATATATGAAAGTAGTTGTTTGGAGAGGGCTTTTTCTTCCAGTTCATGCCTGACAGTAACTTCTATGTATAATCTACAAATCTTTGTGAAGAGTTTATTCTGAAGTCGATTGCTTCCCTCCTTCCTTTGGAAGTTTCCCACATTCTTTGTATAAATATGCTGAAGTTGAGAGCCAAAACTTGTCTTACCCAAAAATTTATCTCCCCTAAAGAAGTACTCTTTTCCATTTGAAGTATCTTACGTAATGATTATCCCCATCCCCTTTTTCATACTTTTTATTATTGCTGATTCATTATAAAAGTGTTGAGTAGGTACACTTGTGGCTCTTCTATAGACCGGTTGCATAGTTTCCACATAGGCTGAAAAGTCCCAGGCCTAAGAAAAAAAAAACCGTTTTTATTTGTTCCAAATGGGCTTCATCCATTAACGTAATCTACATCAAGAGTCGCTCTAACATTTCAATACCACTTTTGTACAACGATTTATATTTTGCCTCAAAATAAGCCTCAATTTTAGCGATAATCTCTTCATTAGAGCGAAATTCCTTAGCGATGAGCATTTTTTCGAGGTCTACGAACAGCCATTAGTCGCTGGGAGCCAAATCTGGTAAATATCTGTAGCGATTCGAAGCTCATTTCATGTAATCTCACCATCGTTTTCATTGATTTGTGACACTGTGCCATTGTCTTGATAAAGCAGCACTTTGTTTTTCTTCAAATAGGGTCGTTTTTCCGCAATTTCGGTTTTCAAATGCTCCAATAACGCTATATGATATTCTCTGTTGATGGTATTTTCCTTCTCAGGATGGTTGATGAATATTACACCAAGCAAACAACGATTTATATTTTGCCTCAAAATAAGCCTCAATTTTAGCGATAATCTCTTCATTAGAGCGAAATTCCTTAGCGATGAGCATTTTTTCGAGATCTACAAACAGCCATTAGTCGCTGGGAGCCAAATCTGGTAAATATCTGTAGCCCATTTCATGTTATTTCACCATCGTTTTCATTGATTTGTGACACTGTGCCATTGTCTTGATAAAGCAGCACTTTGTTTTTCTTCAAATAGGGTCGTTTTTCCGTAATTTCGGTTTTCAAATGCTCCAATAACGCTATATGATATTCTCTGTTGATGGTATTTTCCTTCTCAGGATGGTTGATGAATATTACACCAAGCACATCCCAAATAGCGAGGTCATAACCTTACCAGACGATTGTTGGTCTTTCGGGCGAGGTTCATCAGCTGTTCTCCACTCAGATGACGATCGTTTTGATCCGGTTTGGATCCATGTTTCACCCATTGTCACATATCAAGGTGAAATTTCGATTTTTTATGTTTAAACATGGCCAAACACTGCTTAGAATCATCAAGACGTTCTTGTGTTTAGTCAACAGTAAGCTCGCGCGACACCCACTTTTAACAGAGCTTTCTCATAGTAAAATGCTCACGCAATATAAAATCAACACGTTCTTCTGATATCTCTACAATGACAGCTGACTCAGGCAATTTCTCTTTTCGATGATTCAAAACGATTTTGTGATTTTTTTTGTTTTCTGGCGTTACTGCCTCATTTGGACGTCCACTGCGTTCTGCATCATCGGTGGCTCTATGACAACGTTTGAAGTCAGCAAACCAACGTTTCATTGTTGTTTCTAATGAGGCGGAGCCCTTATTAGACTAGCGCCATCCATATATCAGGCCCAAGACTTTTCAGCCCATGTAGCATTCTGTAACAGATCTTGAATGCTATACTCGACAGGAGAAAGGGTTTAACGTTCATTTTTTGCTATTTTTGTATCAACGTCTGATCCACCCATGTCTTCAAAGTCCACCGAAAATGCTCCAGCATGAGTTCATTGCATTCCCGTTCTCCAATCAAGATGCTACTATTTTTGACAATGAGAAAGTAGTGGACTTTGTAGTCTCTATACAAGAGAATCGATCTGTTCAGAGATTTCCAAATAATCAGAATGTGTCTTTTTCATGGATCTTTGACCAAAAGAAAGCAATGATCAAAGTATTTTTCGCTATCGAACCTAAATAGATTTGTCGTTAGTGAACAAAGTAAACAGAATTCTGTTACATGGTTGGAACACATTAAGAAGAGGGATCACATGAAAACGATAAAAAGTGGCATAACATTCCTATTGCATTTCTTCTTCAACAATAGAAGAATCCCAACACCAAACTGTTATTTTAACACCTCGGCACGTGTTTCGATCACCAAGTAATCATCTTCAAGAGGAAGATTAAACTAAAACTTAGTTTTAGTTTAATCCTAACACCAAACTGTTCCTTTAACACTTCGGCACGTGTTTCGATCACTTGGTGATCGAAAGACGTGTCGAGGTGTTAAAGGTTCCAAACAGTGCATCACAAGTAAAGCATTTGATCTTTATCTTCTTCGGAATAGGAAGAATGAAGTTATTAATATGTCCATCGATGAAAACTGTATAAAAATACAAGTTTTTGAGTTCAAAAAGTAGTTTTTGAGTGTATTTCGTTCAGACAGATAGTCAGCCATGCCAAGATAATTTCGTTTCTCAATATTTGTTGATGTGGTACTCCCTTTCCAAAAGTGGGAATAATTGAACTCATTTTGAAAACGAGAATTATAGCACAAAACCTTGAAATGTCGATACTTTCCCATTTTTCAACAAAACTTTGTTATTTAGCAATACCAAATACAAAATAGACANCTGTCTCTATGGACATGTCGAAGGATTTGTGGTGAAACTTGGGGTTTAGGTCCCAAACAAATCCATTGGATTTATGTGATGATTGTCAGACAAATGATCACTAATGGTGCAATTGCTTGGTGGCCGAAGGCTTTACAGAAAACGGCCCAAGCGAAGCTCTCTGGCTTACAGAGACAGGCTTGCCTGGCTATCAGTGGTGCCATCAGTACCACACCGTCAGCGGCCATGGAGATCCTTCTAGATATACCTCCTCTCCACATTTTTCTGGAAAGAGAGGCTAGATGGACTACATACAAACTTGTGCACATTGCCAATAGGCAAATTAATTCAATGCTGAGTGCAACAGACTGTTGGTTGACATTGGAAGTCACAGAATTCTGGAAATGACCTCTGACTTCATGCCTCCAACTGTCAACTACGAACTGCCTTATAAAGTACTATTTCCGAGTAGAGAGCACTGGATCCTCCGGGAGAAGAAAATATTGAGAGCAGATAGTTGTTGGTTCACAGATGGATCAAAAACACCTTCCGGTTCTAGT